CGCTGTGTTGTCTATGACAGGGTTTCCATGAAGGCCTTTGACTCATTTCAGAAGCTGCCCTCTATTCCTGCTTTGCTTGGAGGTGATTTAACAAATGAGTTTTCTGCTTCATGCCATTAAAATAAATATGCTGCTTTTTGACTGTTAAAATCAAGTTTTGTTTTTAGGGATAAGCTCATTGATCATGACATAGGTATCATTCTGAAGCATTTCTGGCTCTTACACCATTTGGTATATTGTTTTCACATTTATAAAGAACACTTAGAATATAATTGTATAGTAATTTAAGTATACCTTATTTATCTGTTCTTGTTCTCTGTACTTCTGTTGGTTAATCAGTTTCAGTTGATTCAACTATTGCCTTTTTACCTATATTTACAAACCACATTAACATCCTATTTCACATACAGGTAACAAATTCAACAATGGAAAAATGGAGTTTTTAATCTATGCAGTTTTTTAATAATAAACATTTTTCATAAGGTCTTCCCCTTGCACGCACCGGGATCCCATATGGATGCTGGTTCTAATCCCGGTGGCCCCACTTCCCATCCAGTTCCCTGCTTGTGGCCTGGGAAAGCAGTGGAGGACGGCCCAGGACCTTGGGACCCAGCACCTGTGTGGGAGACCAAGAGGAGGCTCTGAGCTCCTGGCTTTAGCTCAGCTCAGCTCCAGCCATTGCGGCTGCTTGAGGAGAGAATCAGTGGACAGAAGATCCTCTCTGTATATGACTTTCCAATGGAAGGGGAAAACAAAGACCTCATCTACGAATGGACCTCAAGATCTTTTTGCAGAGGTATTTTGGCTCAGTAGGCTAAGCTACTAGTTACAATGCTGGTGTCTCATTCAGGTACTCCAGTTTGAGTCCTGGCTGCTCCACTTCTGATCCAGTTCTCTGCTACCAAGCCTGGGAAAGGAGCAGAGAATGGCCCAAGGAATGGCCCCCTGCCACCCTTAGGGGAGACTCAAATGGAGCTTCTGGTGCCTGGCCCAGCCCTAGCTGTTACAGCCATTTAGGGAGTACACCAGCAGATTAAAGATATTTCTCTGTAATGCCTTTCAAATAAATAATTTTTTTTAAAGATTTACTTTTATTATTCTTTTATTGGAAAGGCGGATATACAGAGAGGAGAGACAGAGAGGAAGATCTTCCGTCCGATGATTCACTCCCCAAGTGAGCACAACGGCCAATGCTATGCTGATCTGAAGCCAGGAGCCTCCTCCGGGTCTCCCATGGGGGTGCAGGGTCCCAAAGCTTTGGGCCATCCTTGACTGCTTTCCTGGGCCGCAGGCAGGGAGCTGGATGGGAAGTGGAGCTGCCGGGACTAGAACCGGCGCCCATATGGGATTCCAGGCATGCAAGGCAAGGACCTTAACCACTGCGCCATCATGCCGGGCCCAAATAAATAATTTTTTAAAAAATCAATTTGGAGCCCAATCTGATAGCCTAGTGGCTGGGGTCCTTCCTTTGTAAGCACCAGGATCCCATAGGGGCACCATTCATATGCTGGCTGCTCCACTCTCCTTCCAGCTCCCTCCTTGTGTCCTGGGAGAGCAGTAGAGGACAGTCCAAAGCCTGCAGGGGACCCAGAAGCTTCTATCTTCAGATTGGCTCAGCTCCAGCCATTGCAACCACTTAGGGAGTGAACCAGCAAACAGTATCTTTGTCTTTCCTTCTCCCTGTAAATCTTCCTTTGCAATAAAAATAAATCTTTAAAGTTTTGTTTTGTTTTTAATTGGAAAGCCAGACCTAAAGACCTTCCATCAGCTGGTTCACTTCCCAGATGGCCACAATGACTAAAGCTGGACCAGCACAAAGCCAGGAGCATTTCCTGGGTCTCCTCTGCAGGTGCAGTGGCCTGTACACTTTGGCTATCTGATGCTGCTTTCCCAGACCATGAAAAGGGAGCTTTCCCAGAAGAAGAGCAGCTGGGACACACCCCAACACTTACATGGGATGCCTGTGTCACAGGTAGATCCAACTTGCTATACCACAACACCACCCCAAAGTCTTTTAAAAATATTTTAGCAGCAGGAACAATTCTATTTTCCATGAACTTAAAAAGACTTATTTCAAAGGGCGAGACAGATTTTTTCCATTTATTGGCCTACTCCCCAAATGGTTGAAACGAGCTGGGCTGATCCTGGAACCAGGAGCTTCTTTCTGGGTCTCCCATGTGGGCACAAGGGCCCAAAGACTTGGGCCATTCTCCACTGCGTTCCCAGGCACATATCAGGGAGCCAGTTCAGAAGTGAAGCAGTGAGAACCCAAGCTGGCACCTGCTTGAATGCCAGCAGTGCAGGCAGCACCTCAGTGAGCCTTCTGAAGTACGCTCATATGTAATATAAAACCTGTAACTGGTGGCACAGTGCAGTAAGCTATTGCCTGTGATGTCCATATCACATAGATGTTCAAGCTCTGGCTTGAGTCCCACCTGCTCCATCCAGTTCCCTGCCACCCATGTGAGAGACCAAGATGGAATTTCTGGTTCCAAGCTTTAGGCTGCTCCAGCCCAAGCTGTTGCAACCATTTGTGGAGTGAATCAGCAGATAAACCTTATCTCTCCCTTTATTTCTCTTACTCTTTCCCAATAAATAAAATCAAAAAAAAAAAAAACCTGGATAAACAATATCACTGTTCTTTAGTTGTAAGAAAAATATAGCTATATATTTGCTCACACATTTGCTATTTCTATATTTTCTTGCTTTCCCTGTTTTTTTTAAGTAAGATGTACTTCCTTCCTTGGGAGTGTTCCAATGCAGTGGCTCACCCCCCATGTGCCCACAATGCTCAGGGCTCACCCAGCGCTGGCACCACTTGCCTCCAGGAGTCCACATCAGCGAGGAGCAGGAGCCAGTTACCCAGGGTCTCTGTGAGGGGAAGCAGGTGCTTCGCTTCACCCACCAGGCCAAACGCCGTCCTTCCCACTGCAACGTACAGGCTCAACAGCCTGCCCAAGGCTGGTCCTCAAACCCGCAATAGGGCAGGCTGCGGATGCCTAATGGAGATGCTGCTTGCTGTTCTGCCCGGAGGCTTCGGCAACGAAGGGCAGTCACTTACCAGCCAGCCTCTACAGGCCCGCACCTCATGTCTCCCTTCCAGATCCCGTGGCTCTGAGAAGACAGCCTTTGCCCCACGGGGACCGTGAGTCCACCCCTCGTGACCTTAGGAGACGCTCCTTCCTGGACACGGGTGGGACTGACTGCTCCAAATCGGTACACTACCTGCAGGCTGCAAACGACACACAACCCCGCCGTGCGCGTGCTCTGTACGTCCCCTCTGCAGCCCTGCATATTCTAGCGTCTGCACTGTTACCAGGAACCTACAATAGAAATGTAAATACTCAGCTTTTTGATAGCTTTTGTATTTCTGAAATACCTCCTTTAAAATAAAATTTATTACTGGATTTTGCAGTGTTTTCTTGTATTTAAAGGAAAACTTTGAAACACAGCAAGAAGTTGGCACAGATGTTGCAAAGGTTTAAAAAAAAGTCTGGAACGTGCAGTTTATACAAATCAAAAGCTACTTAACAGAACCAGGTCCAGAACATCAAAGTAAGATGAAGCTTTGAAAGAATGAAGAATAAGTTCCTCTGAAGACACGCATCACCAGGCACCTCCCCCTACCTCAGATCACACACACCTCTCCCAAACCTTTCCTTCCACAGCACGCAATTTCTTCCCACCCACTGTAACAGCAACAAAGCCCAAGCGGCCGACAGTGATGCGCAGGCAAGGCTGGGCCCAAAGCGCAGGGCGTGAGCTTACACTACAGCAGCCTGACCACTGCAAGGGTACCTGTGAGTCCAGGTCAGGGTGCAGAGTGCCAGCATCCCACCTCCGTGAGGCCTTGAGCCCCGTACTGCCCGCCTGAGTGGCAAGGTAGTGGTCTTGGCCTCGCTAAGTGACACAAGTTACTAGTGTCAGAACCACCCACGATCCCCCGCTTCTCCCTACATCATGTGAGAAGGTTCACAAGAACCGCAGACCCCATTCCCACGGGCGAGAACCCCACATTTCATTTGTTAAACTAATTTTCACTGATAGGCATCGCCTCACCAAAAACTGAAATACCAATCCTAGTACACAACACGCCCGTCTTACACGAGAATTACAATCCCAGCCAGCAAGGACAGAGCTGCTATTACAGCACAGCACTCAGGAGAAGCCAGCCTTGCACACAGAAAACCTGGGGCTCACAGTTCAGGATGAGGCAGACCCACACAGGCATTGCTAGGGGGCAGGCTCAGCCCCACTTGGCGGAGAGGGAGAGGGTGTGTCCACATCTTACCTCACAGGGCATCTGACCCCATCACTGTCCAAAGGTCTCGCCTTGCTAACACTCTGCACCTCTGGGGGTCTCCATCCCAGCATCCAGACCACAGTGGTTTGCAACTGTTAACAAGTTGTAACAGTCGCAGCTGTTACAGTCCACAGCTGTAACAAGTTGTGATGATGTCACACACAGGCTTGCTCCAAGACTGCCAAGATTTACTAACAGGAAGGTTAACGTCTATAGCTAACACAACAGCAAGGTCATGAGGTCACAGGGGATCTCAAAAGGATACAGTTTTATGCTGCAAAGATGGTGTGCAGCATTGGGTTGCTCCAAAAGGCCTTCCCGGTGGCACCAAGCAAGGGTGAACCACAATACAGACCATGTAGTTCCACGTCTGCCACCACGCACCCCAGCCCCTCATTCACTCACCTCACGGTCACAGGAACTTCAAGAGCAGTCAGATTTGAGCTGTCGGCCTTGAAGAATACATCCCCAATCTCTAATTCCAACAGAAATGTACCTCACACAAACTGTGCTGGTCTGCATTTACCGCATCGAGAATTGCAATCCCAGCCAGCAAGGACAGAGCTGCTCCCCCTGCTGGGGAGACATGACTCACACACCCAAAGCACAAAAAATGCACAAGCCACTCCAGCCCACATCACTGAAGTAGAAAAGTCAGAAGCTGGGCTTGAAAAGAGAGGAACATGGCTGAGGAAGCAAAAGCTTATGGTGATTTTATTTCAATAATGAATTAATCTCCATAAAAGACGTTTTTATACACTAAAATGTCTCAAGAACTTATGGTCTCATCTCGCAAACAAGCCTACCAGTTTGTTAAAAGGCAGGGCCAACTACCCTTATTTTATGGTTCTTGTGGCCCAGAGGTGACACATCTCTGAGCATTCACAGGATGCAGAAACAGCTTGACTGCCGGCTTCCAGGCCACAGCCTCAAGGCCACTCCACAATCTGTCACAGGGACACTCCAAGCTTCTGATGGCTTGTGGAATCACAGAACAGAAATGGAGCTCCTGGGGACAGATGTGTCCAAAGCCAGTGTTCGTTCCGTCTCCTGGCAGAGAGAGCCCGAGATTCTGACTCACCTTGAACCCCATCTTCCTGCAGCCGCTCCTCCCTCCAGGAACAGCCGAGAGCCTCTCCGGGAAGGCCTCACCCTGCCCGGGGACGGGCAGCACCCACACGGGAAGTCCGGGGCTCTGACTTTAAGCCAACTTATGTTTCACACAGCTGGTTGGGAAGAACCATGGTAAGCTTGCTTATCCAATCATTTGCAAATTAACAAGTAATATACCAATGTGATACTTTGCTGTACAAAATGACAATCTTCAGAATTTGTACATGGGTCATATGGAACAATTTTATTCCTAACTTACACTTTGTAAGATACTTGGCAATGTACAAAGAATACCCCAGTTCTGGGTGGTGACTGTTTTGTACGATGATGATTTATTTACAAAATTTCCCCCACATAATAAGAATTATATTTCTCTTTTTTAAAAAATCAGCATTGGTCCTATAAAGGCCATTAGGATAAATTCTTCAGTCTACAAAATATGCTTTGGTAAGCACTGCTTCCAAGCTTACTATTGTTAACTAAAATCTGACCTCAAAGTCCACACGCAGCTTCTAGTTCTAATGAATGCGCAGCCGTATGATTGACGGGGAGAGTGGAGGACAGGCAGTCCTAGAGACCTCTATGAGAGGTGTATGTGAGTCTGCTGGATACACCCTAGCTGTACCGCCCTCTATAATGGGACCACCAGGTCATCCCATTATGCTAAAACGTGGTTCCTTTGGAAAAGAAAAGCCTTTTTCTGAAAATAAACGCTTTCTCCAGCCCAGCAAGACTGGTCAGAAGGGTGAATAAAAAAGTGGCTGTTGAGTAGTTATAAAAAAAAGTTTCATTTCTTTGAATTTTTTCCTTTTCCTTTTCTGGATTCCTTATCTTTTTCTGGTTTTGAAGACTTTGCAGATTTTGTCTTTTTCTGTTGGGGGAGAAAAGAAGCATAAAATAGTTAAAGCTGTGTTATTAATAAATGAAATAACTTTGCTCCCACAATGATCTAATCTCTTAACTGCATCTCAATTATTCTGGAGAAGAGGTTACACCCATCGATATCTGATTCGTTGCCCAGGGTGAGCTTGCTTCGAAGGAACACCTGTACTTGTCACAGCCTTCCAAAGCCACCAGTAAAAACGGCAATGCTAGTCAGAGTCTAGAACCCACACAGCTCCCCTTTCAGGCTGCTGCTTGGCTTCAGAACCCAGGTACGCTGAAAAAAACACTAAGCAAAGGATGCTTACCAAAAAAGGAGTAGTGTTTACATGAAAAATTTCCTTTTCCTTCCTGGTTCACACATTTGTTGGGTGAAGGACAAGAGAAGGAGGGAAAGAGGACTACGGCTCCCATCCCCCGCCCCCACAGGGACCGCCCCCGGCTCTGCACACACAGAACCAGGGAGGGGCACGAAGCCACACCCACAGCAGAGGCCTGCTGCAAACACCAGGCTGCCAACGTGACTGATGGCAACCTGTCCCGGCAGGTCTTGAAGACATTCTGCTCTGAGAAACGCTCTGTAGCTCAGTGGCTACAGCAAAACTCCAGCAGCAAGACGGGGAAGCTGCTTGGTTCCAGCTGTTCTTCCGGAAGATGCTGTGGGAGTGTGTGTGGATAAGAGCACAGAGCAGTAACCACACGAGTGGTGCTTTTCCGAGCACCAGATGGCCGGTCATCCTGCTGCTTGGCTCTGCACTGCATGGAGAAGCTGAGTGCTTATAAAAATGAAATCTATCCCTGCTCCACCCACAGCCCTGAGCAACAACGTACAGAAGCAATTTCCACTTTCTCACCTGCTTACTAAATAGTCCGGTTACTCACAGAGCAAGTTCAACGCAGAATCACAAGACCATCTGCTTTGAAACCATTCCTGTGTGAGGCTGCAAACCCTACCTTGATCATTGCGTCCGTTTCTATGGCATCTTGGTCCTTCTCGTCGGACTGGGAGTCCTCTTCAGGCACGTCCTCGCTGTACTCGGAATCCAAGGAGGCTCCCAGGCTGTGGCGCGACGCCCTGACGGCCTGAAGGGAGTATGGAGTAAGGTGGGCCTCCTTATTGTACGCTCTCGTGAAGGCAGCTTTCACCTGCAGAAGAGGGACAGGCAGAAAGCTAAGGGTCAGGCAGCGGCTGTGTACCTGCAAGCCCAAAGCCTCTGAAAGACATCAGAGCACCAGCAGCTTTGCAAAACATGCACACGTATTCAGATAAAATGTAAATAATGTGGGGCCAGCGCTGTGGCACAGCAAGTAAAGCCACCACCTTATGGCACCAGCATCCCATACTGGCACCTGCTTGAGTTCTGGCTGCTGCATTTCTGGTCCAGCTCCCTGCTAATGTGGCTGAGAAGACCATGGAGAACGGCCCGAGTATTTGGGCCCTGCACCTACATGGGAGACAAGCCAGCAGCTCCTGGCTTCAGCCTGACCTAGCTCTAACTGTTGCGCCATCTGGGGAGTCAGTCAACAGATGGCAGGTTCCCTTTTTCTCCCGCTGCCCCTCCCTTTCCCTCTGCAACTCTGCCTTCCAAGCAAATAAATAAATCTTATAAATGTTTAAAAATAAAAATTTGTGCATTTTTCTATGGAGAAGTTCAATATTTTCCTCTTTTTAAAAGATTTGTTTATTTTTATTGGAAAGGCAGATATACAGAGAGAGAAGGAGAGACAAAGATCTTTCATCTACTGGTTCACTCACCAAGTGGCCACAATGGCCGGAGCTAAACCAGTACGAAGCTAGGAGCCAGGAGCCTCTTTCAGGTCTCCCACACAGGTGCAGAGTCCTAAGGTTTTTGGACATCCTCAAATGCTTTCCCAGGTCACAATCAGGGAGCTGGATGGGAAGCGGGGCTCCTGGGATATGAACCAGCATCCATATGGGATCCCAGCACGTGCAAATCCCATGGGACTTTAGCCACTAGACTACTGCACTGCGCCGCAATATTTTTCATAATTTCCTTAACAGAACCCTTTACTTTAAAAAAAGAAAAAGAAAATCAAGCATCAGCATGTGTGAACTTTAAGCAAGCAGAAAATTTACTTATAATCATATTTTTACCTACTAAATATCCTCCACATTTCTAATAAAAATAAGATAATCAATGAATCAATAAATTCCAGAAAACCTCTTAACAGGGTACCATGAATTACCACAGAATACATATGATGCCTTTGCCTTAGCAAGTAGTTACTCCAAGATACTAAGTAACTTTAAAAGCCTGAACTTCCTAATTCCACAATTAATGCATAAGTCCCAACATTGGATGTCTATTGTGGGAATTTACAAATAGCCATGAAGGCAGGTGAGCTGCAGAACATGTATCTGAAAGCAGCATTAGGTAAGGATGCACGAGAGTGAATCACAGCAAGCACACATCCATGAGATCACAGTGTTCTCTGGACTCACTAGAAGAGGGGATACCTGACCACAGAGATGATCCAGCCGAAATAACTACTAATATCCACACTCTAGAATGGAGGGGGAGAAAAAACCCTGTTTAAAGTCCTTAGCCAGTGAATGTTACCAGCACTTTGTTCTCACTTCCCCAGCCTGGTCTTCCTAATCTGATCACAGACTCACCTCTATCTGCCCCACCCTCCACCCTGGATTTATTTCTGCCCTCCACTAAGCATAAAGCAAAAATATAAAATACAAACTGTGAAATCAAATCCAGAAGTCAATTCTTACTCTTGTACTCAAATGGTATCTTCAGCAAGCATAGACTGTGGGATGCAACATTTAAGGGGGAAAGTGACCTTTAGGAAAAGCATCTAGAACATCTCTGAAATACTGGTGGTATAAACCTGGCAATGACAGCGGGACAAATAATCAGCAGGTGACACAATTTACCTTGGGATCCAACTTGGAAAAGGAACTGGGTTTGCCACCCCAGCTGCTGATTTCCATGATGCTCTCAAAGTCTTCCTTCATCAAGTAATACGCGTCCATAAGTGCAACAACATCCTGGACACCTTCTACCCCTTGTGAGATCAAGGGCTGTACAAGTGCATCCCGTAGGTGTGACAGGTAATCCATGTTTACAGTCCTCTTGCTGGAATAAGTTCTGAAACCCAAGCATACCATGTACGTGTCCACACTGAGCCAGCTAACTGGGCAAAGTCTGACCTAACTGTAACAGTGCTCAGGGGGACACCTGCTGTGTAAGAACTGGAACAAGGAGAGCCTAGCATTCCAGCGTGTTCAAAGGACTTTTCACTTACCTGGATTAGAGGCTGAAAAAGAAATGGGATTCTACTTCCATATTACAGGGTTGTCTCTGCCCGTATTTATGATGGCCACAGATCACTCTATCCAAGGCACATCCAAGGCAGCGAGGTCAGCCGCCTCAAACACCCCTGCCACTTCCTGGGCAAGGGCGTGTAACACCTTCTGCTCTCCGATTACCACACAAAAATTAGCCATGAATGCGTCCCACATACCTCCTAACACTGTTCCACTGAAATCTTAGGCTTTAGTAGCAAAGTTTTGCCAAAATTTTAAAAATTAAAAAGTACACAGAACCTTCCTATAGAATCAGAGTGACCCAGACTGGCCAGAGTTAGGAAGACAGTGTCTGGCCTCCTGGGAATTAGAATGTCAAAAATAAAATCAATGACTCTTTGTCTCCTGTGTGCATCACAGACAGAAAAGTGACTGAAAGAAGTATTTCAAGGACACTGCCCTAATAAATCTTTCCAACCCAAGTGTCTCCATCTTCAAGAAATTTTTATTCATGTTTATGTATATGTGTACTTACCGTATTTTTTTTTTTCAGACAGACACACACAGAGACAGATTAAAAATAAAGAGGTCCTATCCACTGGTTTGCTGCCCATACACCTACACGCAGCCAGGGCTGGGCTGGGGGCCAGGCACTCAGGGCAGGTCCCCCATGCGGGCGGCGGGCAGCGGGCGGCGGGGACCCAAGTACGCAAGCCACTGCCCACGGCCTCCCAGGAGGCACATTAGCAGGACGCCAGAGTCAGGAGCTGGAAGCAGGTACCCGAGCCCACCACCTGAATCCGGGACATGGGTATGCTCAGCCAGGCAGCCGATGACTGTCCCTTCCCAAGCCGCAAGGCCAGCCAGCAGGGAGCACCTTCTGATCACTCTGACATTACCGCTACCTTTCCCAAATGACCAGCTAAGTTTACCACTAAGACAAGTAAAAACTAGATTATTTTTTTCTTCAAAAACTATTTGAAAGGCAGAGTTACAGAGATGGGTGGGGAAAGAGAGAGACACAGAGCGGGGTATTTTCCATGCTGGTTCACTTCCAAACAGCTGCCAGAGGCAGGAGCAGCTGCGGCTTTACCTCACAGGCCAAGGACCCCAGCAGGTCATCCTCTGCTACTTGCCCAGGTGCATCAGCCAGGGCTGGAACTGAGGCCCACAGGGACGCAAGCGCACAGGCATCACTGTCCCAGCACTGGCCCCGTCCATGGGTTCGTTTCTTTAAACAAAGCTTAATTATTCTATTTCTGCAAAGTTACTCATACTAGAAATAGCTATAATCACAATAACAACAAATAAGAACATTCCCTCAGAATTCCACCACTTTAAAAGTTGATCTTAATGCGGTAACATAGTTATGACCATGCCCTGGCTTTACTCTCCAAAGTATCCTTTTAAATGATAAAGCAAGTGTCATATTGCTTACAAATGATAAAACATGAGCCCACAAAACTTGAGGACCATTTAGCTAGCTAGCAATACATTAAAATTTAAAAAATGACTCTTGCCATTCCCACTGGAGAATGGTTAAATATACCACATTCCAATAAATCTTCCCGAAACGTGGACGGCCCGCTCACCTGAGACTCATGTGCAGGGCCAGGTCCTGAACGATGCGGTCATGCTTGCCTGTAGATGAATATTTGCCCAGCCAGCTTGGAAAGGTGGGAAACTGAGTCATGTACCCTCTCATCAATTCTCCAGGAAGAACACTGGCATAAATAGCCTGGGAAAAAAAAATCAATTACAGTTCAGCACAGATGTCCAGTACCAAGTTACCCCCTTAGCCGCCCGCTGTCCTCCCCCAAGCCTTCGGAAAATGCTGCCCTGACACCTCCAGAGAGGCCGCTGGAGCCCGTCCCTGTCTCTGAGCCGCCGGCACACACACCTCCCCCTCAGACAACCACCACTGCAGCCACACCTGCAGGGAGGCTGGACCAACTGAGCCCGAGTCTCGGCCCCACACACCGGTTGGCCCAGAATGCCAACGGCACAGCCAAGAATTAGCTCCAGGAGAAAGTGACTATCTCCAACATAAGCAATTGACCGCACAGGGAGGTTAACATGTGAAAGGCCTAACAACCAGAAAATCAAATTACCAATTGAGAGAAAAAACAATCTTTCAGTATCTTCTATATCCAAAGTTTTCACTTTTCTAAACGTTGGAAGGAGACTCTGTGTGCTTTACATCCTGCTTTAGTCTAGTAGTAGTCTCTAATAAGCATTTCTTCGTGTCAGGTAACATCTGTAATTCCTTTTTAGAAGCAGAATACCCGCCCACTGGTTTACTCTGCAAATGCCCGCAAAGGCCAGGGCTAGACCCTGCTGCAGTGAGGAGCCGCACTCCGTCCGCTCCCCCCGTGTAGGCCGCAAGCCTTCAACACCAAAGCCATCGCTTGCCGCCAGCCAGGGCCTGCAAGGGCAGGGAATCCGCAGCTCAGAGCTGAAGCTCACAGCTGAACTCTGACCAGGATGCCTGCAGCCCAACCATGAGGGCCCAAACCCCACCCCCTCCAAATCTTACACATAATTGTAAAGGTGGCATAATATTTTATAAACACCCTTGAACCGTAATTCATCATTCTCATGTCTGACTTGGAGATCTTTCATTTTTTGCTATCAGAACTAATGCTTTAGGGAGTATTTTCATGCATTCATTTTTCCTATAAAGTATTTAAACATTTTTTAAATAATAAAAATATTTTTTAAAAACTTAAAACAAAATAAATAGGGCCTGGTGCAATAGCCTAGTGGCTAAAATCCTTGCCTTGCATGTGCAGTGATCCCATAAGGGAGCCAGTGTGTCCCGGCTACTCTATTTCTCATCCAGCTTCCTGCCTGTGGCCTGGGAAAGCAGTGGAGGATGGCCCATCAGCTCCACGAGTTTATGTTTTTTTGTTTTCAAGCAGTGTGCGGGCAGAATTAGAAGGAGGTAGGCCTTTAGGGAACTCCTTGTTAATCCATAGGTCGACAATGTGGTACCAATAAGAACAAATATCACTCAATAATGAATCTGCTGGTGGAGAGCATATCCAGCTGCACATGTAGGATATGGCAGTCCTTCGGCACCTGCAGAGGACACCTGGCACCACAAGAGAGGACAGAACAAATCAATCAACTACCCCAGCCATGTGTTGGCAGTGAAAAACTGGCCAAACACACTCTAAGATGGACTATGTCAATCAGCAGATTCTGCAGCGATCTCATTGTGTTTGGAATGGCGAGATTAGAAGCAATTCATAACTGTTGAACTATCAAAACCACTTGAGCAAGAACCTCGGAGCATGCCCCACATCAGGGACCTGGGATGGGTGAGAGACTGGGCGGGGCTTCTCCCTTTACCCCAGATACAGGGAAAAAAATGTGAAAATAATAGTCTCACCCACTTTCCTGTAGCCCTTGACCCTCTGTGCCCTAATTAACTATGTAAAGATTGTCAAAAATAAAGAAAAAAAAAATGAATCTGCTGGTTCACTTTCCAATGCCTAGTACAACCAGAGGTGGGCCAGGTCGCTTCTAGGAGCCTGAAACTAACCTGGGGCTCCTGCATGGGCAGCAGGGAACTAAATACTTGAGTCCTCACCACTACCTCCTGGGCTGAATAGCAGGAAGCTGCGATCAGAAGCAGAGCTGGGACTCAAACACAAGTACTGCAAGGTAAGACGTGGGCACGCCAAGCAGTGTGTTAAGCACTGTACCAAATGCTTCCTGCCCCAAATTCTTTTTGAGTTAAATACTTCATCCTACATACAATTCCCAATACAAAGGTACCTCCGTGGTTAGGAAGGGAATATCAGATGCTTTGGTGTACCCTGGCTGCCATCTCTTCAGGGAGGAGTTGTTTAGTGCTCATCTGGGAGAGCCAAGAATGACACAAAAGAAGCAGATTCTCAAGATAAACACTGACAATGAAACTTTCTATTCATCTTAGCCATACCCTAAATCTAACCTTCCTATTTTCTTGCGTCCGTTTATGTGAAAACATGTATGAAACATTAAAAAGTAAGTCTAGAGCCAGTGCTGCGGTGCAGCCCACTCAGCTGCCTCCTGCAACACTAGCATCCCAGATGGGTACTGGTTCAAGTCCCAGGTGCGCCACTTCAAGCCAACTCCTCACCAGCACACCTGGGAAAGCAGCAGAATGGCACACATTTTGGGGGTCCTGACACCCAGGTGGAAGACCTGGATAGAGCTCCTGGATCTTGGCTTTGGACTGACCCAGCTCCAGCTGTTATGGTAACATGGGCTGTGAACTAGCAGATGAAAGCTCTCTGTCTCTCCCACCACTGTCACTTTCCAGATGTATTTATTTGACAAGCAAAAAGGAGAGACAGTAATATCTCCCTTCTGCTGGTTCAGTCCCCAGAAGACCATGCTGGCCAGGGCAGGGCAAGCCCAAAGCCAGGAACTTCATCCAGAGCCCAACTACTTGGGGCAGCATCCCGTGCTTTCCCAGGCACATTAGCAGGAACAAACACTAGAAAAGGAGCAGCTGAACTTGAACTGGCAGTCACATGGGATGGTGACATCGCCAGGGGTACCTTAACCCACCATGGCACAGTGCCAGCATCAGTTCCAGCTTTCTAAACAAGCAGTGATGACTCAGTATTTTCATCTGAATATGATTCTATTTTTGTCACAAGAGCCATCGTGTTAATCTGATGATTCAAACCATTACAGGAGCCAAGGTTTGATTGAAAAAGCATTTTCTTTAGCAGAGTCTGCACAGTGCTGTACTCACCTGTGTGGGCAGAAGGCTCCAGTTCTGTTTGCTCCGGATCTGACTGTCCACCAAGTCCCCGTCACATATGCTATCAGCTGCTCGGCTTAAGAGCATCAAGTGCTTTTTCATGTCTCCCCTGCAGGAGAGAAGCAGTCTGTAATACCACTCTCACAGCCCACGACCCTTTCTCCAGCACCTGGCCTGTGCAATGATGGAACAATATTACGCCTACTGCTTGCCAGCTCCGAACACTCACCCTGCAGCTACAGGCTTCACATGTACATAATTCTCCTGGACAAAGAGGGGGGCGATGGAATAATCATGGAAAAAGAGATCGGATTTGTCCGCTAGTGACATGTGTGCGGTCTCCTCTCCAGCTGCAAACACTTTCCGGGCAACATCAAACGGGCCCTAGAACAGAAGATAAATGCACCTGTTAGAGGGCCCCAAACCCACAGCATTCCCCACACTGTTTGCTGGCGAGGATGGGGAAGAGCCAGAGATCCCACTGCTAGAGAGTCAGCAAAATGGTGTTGCCATTCAGAGGAAGGTGTGGCAGTTTCCTGCACAACTGGACATACACTTCCCACCCAAATGAGCTGAAAATTGTGTCCACTCAACATCCTGCACACAGCTCTACTAGCGTTGTAAGTAGGAAGCTAGTCAAGGTGCCCTCCAGTAGGTGAAGTGAGCCACAGGCAGACGATGGAATCTTAGTTGTCACAGTAACAGCAACAAGAGCGACGAGGTCATGAGAAGACATGGAGGAAGCACGCCTGAACGGTGATGAGACAGCCTGAGCGGGACATACACGGTACGAGTCTAACTATGTGACATCTGGGGAAGGGCACAACTGGGAAATCAGGGAAAAAACTACTGTCTGTCCCAGGCTGCAAGACCGGAGGCCTGGACGGGTTTCTTTTCTAGGATGGACTGACTGACTGACTGATTTGAAAGGCAGAGTGATAAAGACGGGGCAACACGAATCTGTCATCAACAGTTCACTCCCCAAATGCCCACAACAGCCAGGGGAAACTCTACCAGGGTCTCCGATGCAGGTGACCAGAACCCAGACATTCAGCAATGTTCACTTGCCTGCTAGCAGCATTAGCAGGAAGGCAGGACATGAACCCACTCCAATATGGGGTACAGGTGTTCCAGATGGCAGCTGAAGCCACTGTACCACAATGCACAGCCCACAGAGAGAATTTTTCATAAAAGGATTATTCTTGGAAAGTCAGACATACAGAGAGGAAGATCTCTGGACCAATGATTCACTCCCCAAGCGGCCACAATGGCTGAAGCTGAGCCAATCCTAAGCCAGGGGCCTCTTCCAGGGTCCTACATGGGTGCAGAGTCCCAAGGCTTTGGGCTGTCCTCGACTGCCTTCCCAGGCCCTAAGCAGGGAGCTGGATGGGAACTGGGGCTACGGAGATTAGAACCTGCACCCATATGGGATCCAGACACGTGCAAGGTGGGGATTTTAGCCACTAGGTTACAGCGCCAGGCCCAAGGATTTTTATGGTAGTGAAACTGCTTAGTGTCATACTATAATGGTAGAAACATGTCAAAACCCATAAAATGTTTAATATTAAGTGAATTCTTAAGATAAACTATGGGCCTTTGGTAACAGTGACCATTCAGCACATGTCTACCAGTTGTAACAAAAGCACCACTCTGATGCTGCATGCTGACAATGGCTGTGCACATGGGAGTGGGGCATGGGCAGGGGACAGAGGGAATCTCTGTACCTACTTCTAAACTACGTGAACAAAAAGCTGCCCTAAAAATGTTTAAGTACACTGGGGCTGGTATTTTTGTAGCAAGTTAAGCTGCCACCTGTCACAACACCATTTCATATGGGGATCAGCCGGGAGTCCCAACTGGTCCACATTCTGATCCAGACCACAGCTAGTGCACCTGGAAAGCAGCTGAAAACGGCCACGTTCTGGCACCTACGACCATTTAGGAAGTGAACTAGCAAATGAAGCCTCTTTAATCTCCTCCTCTCTCTGTAGTCCTGCCTTTCAAATAAATGCATATTTTAAAGTACATTAATTTCTTAAAATATACAGACAAAATTAAACATGCTTCATGGTTGTTCTAACAAATTCCCAGTAACCAGGTAAAATGAACAGGCCTCTGGTTTCAGAGGGGTGGTGAAACCTAACCATGTGAATTAGATGATTCTGAACAAGGAAGAACTCCAAACTCCAAAGACACTCACTAGGCACTCCGGAAAACCACTTTGTAACTGGGAAGGATACATAAGATGTAAAACTTCAGCATGCAGAACAGATGCTGATAATCCAAAAAAAAAAAAAAAAAAAAACCAATTCATTTGAATCAGAAATCTCAGTAAACCATCTTATAAGTATCCATAGGTATTACACATGTACCAAAGAACTTAATTAACTGTTCTAAGTTAATTAGCTGCAAAACAAGTGCTTCGGTTTGGGAAAGACAGGAAATTTATTTTTACCAGTTTAATATCTTTTTTGGCCCTATGAGAATCAGCCTTGGCCTGGTCGTAGGTGAGGGCCTTACTTCGTGCACACCACATACTCAGATTGTGCAAAACCTAAAACACCAGAAATAAGACAATGTCAGGACAAGAAAACACGGCCACTCCCCTTAGCAGTGAGGCTGAGGCATTGTTTCCAAAGGATCAACAAGTCATTCAACGGGGTCATGGAACACAGATTGAATTTACCTGTCTGATATCCTGATTGGCTCCTAAAATTATTTCATTCATAGCCGGAGGGGGGATCTTTAAGCCTTCTTTAAATGCAATAGACATCATAGCACCCTGAAATTGACAATCAAGAGAACCAACCAAAAATTTCCTCAGGCATCTTTTAAAATGGATCTTGAAATAAAAAGAACAGTGTGCTTGGGGAGGAAAACTCAACCATCATACCTTAATTTGTTCAACTCGAGGTCTTTGAAAACGAAGATCAAAACAATAATGAACCAGAGAGCGGATCTTGGGGTGATTTCTATCGTTGCACATACAAATGATGGGAATTTTCGTGTGCTTTATCAAGCCAATTAGTTCCTAAAAGGTAAATTTACAACAAAAATGTATTTAAAAAATTAACAAACACCACACAATGCATTTGAGGTTCGTAATCTTGCCTCAGCCACCTATATCAGGACGGCATTAAATGCTGCCAGAAGTCTGGCACTCAAGGCACGGTGCCTCGCTGACCTGAATTCCGCCCCGGTCCTCGTTGCCGGCCATGCCGTCCACTTCGTCCATGATGAGAGCATGTTTTGTGCTTCCGGAAGGGGATGCACCACCTGACCCAGGGTGAGAAGCAGGGGGACAGGTCAGAAACAGTTTAGAAAATAATAATGTCTAAAAACTGCTGCTTCACTGGAAATTCTAGAACATAACAAATGTCAAAGGAGTATGCAGGAAAAGAATCTTTCTTCTCCTTGACTCCCATGCCTAGTTTCTCTGCCCAGAGGCAGATGTCAGTCTCTTTAAATGTGCTTTAAAAATTCCACATTAAAAACTATGGGGTCAGTGCTGTGGCATAGCTGGGTAAGCTGCCACTTGGTATGCCAGGATCCCACTTCAGAGTGCTGATACAAACTGCTCCACTTCCAATCCAGCATCCTGCTAAGGTGCCTGGAAACGCAACAGAAGATGCTCCATGCAAATGTGTGGGGTCCTGTCACCCAGGTGGGAGACCTGGTGGTGCTGGTATCGCAGGCCATGGCTTTAACCAGCTACACCACAATGCTGATCCATAACATGACTTTGAGACTCACTTTACATTCCCACAAGCCATGTACAGAAGTAACATTTCCCAAGAAATTTCTTTTTGCACAAAGATTTTCTACTACTGAAAACAGCAAGAATTCAAGTGCACGTACAGTAACTGGGGTATCTTACTTTCCAGTGATCTCTGCTCATAAAGAAGCACGGACTACAGTCTGAAACACAGAGACACTTCCACATTGTGCCTTCCATTTTTCTTCTGTGCTCATCTTTCACCTTCTGCAAGGCCTTTCAAGTGAACTTCCCCTTTTACCTGTGGCTTACCCCTATGCCTAAACACAATGCACTACGTCTTGACCTACATACATTACTCTCTTACTCCTCATTCTGTGTCAGTTTTTTCTTTCTTTCTTCAAAAGATTCACTTCCAGTCTCTGAACATGAGTCATGCCCAGCTCCAGCCACTGCAGGCATGTGGGGAGGAACCAGCAGATGAGGTCAATCTCTCCCCCAATCTGCCTTTCAATTAAATTGTTTAAAAAAAGCTACATTAAAGGCCTGAATCTTTTGTTAGCCCCAGTATTTAGCAAAGTGCCTGCCAAATAGTAGTGTTAGTGTTGGTTACTAAACAGTGCACTGAAATGGTTTTTCTTACATAACAACATCAACAGAACAATTAAAAATATCACCTACTGGAATAAAAGCCCTTGATGCTAGTGTTGTTCAGGGACTCGGCAACAATCGCCTTCAGACTGTTCTTACTTCGAGTGTCACTTGCATTTAGCTCCACGTAGCTATATCCCAATTCCTGGTCAAAATATTGGAAACTATTACATTATAATACAAATTAGTTCCCCTTGCACAAAAACTGCCAAGTTAAGAAAGAAAATACAAAAAAAAAATCATATAAAGAATTATGGGTAAAATACAAAACACGATACAAAACACGATAAGATATAAAAATGCCTAACATTAGACACTTTAAATATATCACAGACATACACACGGCACAGAAACATAAACATACACATGTGGCTTTAAAAATCCTAGCTAGTAAATCACTCATATGGAACAGCATATATGAATACGTAAGTTTCTTCAGTTTGTTTCTTGAATCTCAAAGGTCAATGTAATTATCACATGAACTCAATAAAGAACTCATCTAGTTTAAGATACTAAAAAGTAAATTTTGTTTCTTCAAACTACCCCAATATACAATTTTCTTCTCAAATCAGAAATATTCAAGTTATCCTGATTCATTCACCCAAACAGATCAGCTTACAAAATTCCTTGATTCTCAAAAAAAAAAAAAAAAAGGCAAAGGTAATAATAGAATCAGATATATAATTGTAGAACTAGGAAAGAACACTGCTTTGCTTGTTTTAAAAAATGTTTGTTAAAAAATACATTATGATTTACATCTAATTTTCCAGTCTAGCCCATCACTCAGACCATAAAAGAAACCACTAGCGAACGCCTTATGCTATCATGCTGACTGTCATTACATAAACTCTGACAGAGAGCCAGCAGCAATACAGCAGACCAAGTCGGTACCATAATGGCAAAAAACAAACCTGGAGGCAGACCACCTGGCTTCCAACTGAGCCAAACTCTCTAGTCCTGCTTCATCTGTCATGTATAAGTGCACAAGATTATTATAAGAATATACAAAATATTGACATTCTTATGGTCTAGAGACATTTATATTACTGACTGCATTTCCCTACTCTAAAATGCTTGGAATCAGAAGTATTTCAAATGTTTTCTACATTAAAATTTCGGAATATGTGAATAGACTTCACCAGTTAAGCACCCCTAATCCAAAAATCTGAAATCCAAACGCTACACAATGCAAAACTTTCTCAGAATCAAAAAAATATTCATGACAAAAAATGTTTTAGAAAAGCAGTGTTTAGGACAGAGATTATGTACGATGCCTGTTGCTCACACTAGAGTCTGATCCTGGCTCCGGCTCCCAGCTTCTTACTACTGCATATCCTGGGAGACCCACCAAGAGTCCTACACTGAGCCATGCATCCTGGCTTCAGTCCCAGCATAGCCTCAGCCACTGCGGGAATCTGAAGAGTGAACAGAACAGAACCTTACTTGCTCACTTGTTCTCACTTTCTCTTTGCCTGTCAATTGGGAAAAAAAAAAAAAAAGGCTTCCTTTTGTTTAAAGTTTGGCTTTTGGAATTTCAGGCTAGAGTTGCTAGCCTGTTTCTCTCTCTAAAATAACGCATCCAAGTGCTCAGAACATAGAATGGTTCACTAGGTTCCCCTTACCCGCAGTGTCACATTCCAAGGTTTTGGTTAAATTTGTGGTCAACCATGCTCCAAAACACGACATGGAAACTGCACAGCATCCTGGGTAGTGTGAGGAAGCCTTGTTCTGCTCTCAATGCCACCAAGCACATGAATCACCCCTTTGTCCCGCACATCCATGCTCTATACGCTACCTGCCGATTAGTCACTTGGTAGCAGTCTATTCCAACATCACAGAGCAAGCAACCCTTATCTTACTTAATAGTGGCCCCAGGTAGTGATGGCACCAGGACAGATGAAACCCAGTGCTCTGTGGCAACGTCACAGGATGTAAAGGACAAAGTACACACAAGCAGACACATACTTCTGTACTAATCTTGCTTCAGGCATCTGTTAGGGGTCATTACACATATTGGGAAAGTTACTAGATTTTAACAATCAGGATCTTAAAAGGGATGAAAATCACAACCAACACCGGCAAATTCTAAAGGTTTCTTCTCAGAAAAGTCTGTATATAGCACATTCAAATTCTCACACACATACATGCATTTATTGCTGCACACCACTCCAGGACACAGCACTCACCTGACACACCAGAGAAGCTGTGGTGGTTTTGCCAACACCAGGGGGGCCTGAGAGCAATGCTGCTTTAAAACTGGAGCCATCATCTTTACCAGCAAATTTACCAAACTTAGCTGCAAGGAAAACAGAAGTCTGAAGTGTGAACCGAAATCACTATCAAGAGTTCAAACGGCAGCAATGGTCACAAACTTGACTCCAAGATTAGTTCTCCAATCTCATCCTAAATTTGCAGAATGCTCTCTACAAATCATAGACAAGAGTTTCCTGCGTGCTTAATGAAATTATTCTCCTTACCTCACCTGGACCCAAAATTTATTTAAAAAAAAAATTTGTAAAAATCTGATCTGAAACTGTAATTAGGGACTTGGAAAGGGAGGGAGAGGAGATGGATGAATTTCTTTTCTAGAAAATCACAAGCCAAAGAGCACACAGGGACAAGGAGCACTCTGGGCCAAGGAGCACGCGGGGCCAAGGAGCACGCTGCATGATCCTGCCTTCACCTCTGGGAGTGCTTCCACCAAGACTTAACCCTTCTCCTCCTTTGTAAAATGAGGATCCTAACAGGGAAAGTGGAGTTCCAGGCTCCTGGCTTCAGCTTAGCCCAGCTCTGGCAGTTTCAGCCATCTAGGTGAACCAGTAAATGGAAGATTCTCTGCTTCTCTGTTTCTATCTCTATTTCTTTCACCATTTCTCTGCCATTCATATAAGTGAAATATGTTTAAAAATATATCAATGGGGTCAGCCTCATGGCATTGGGGTGCTGGTTCTAGTCCCAAATGCTCCACTTCCAATCCAGCTCCATGCTAACAGATTGGGAAAGCAGCAGAGAGCCCAAAGCCTTGGACTCCTGCACCTGCTTGGGAGACCTGGAAATCCTCTAGGCCCAGTTCTGGTCATTGCAGCCACTTGGGAGACTAAAGCAGCAAATCAAAGATCTGTCTTTCCCTCTCTATAACTCTGACAAAGTAAAATTAAATAAATCTTTAAAATCTGTGTGTGTGTGTGTCAACAAACATAATGACTACAAGAAAGAATAATAAACTGAAAATGTTGTGTCTACAACTACTTCACACGGCTCAGAGTAGAACAGCTGCTCTCTGATCACGTGAGTGCCAGGCACAAGGGTGCCCTGCACCAACTCAATAACTGAGAGCCCTGGTCAAACTGACTGCACACAGCCCTCGGGAAAGGGATGACAGCTCTTCTGGAGATTTAAACTCTTCTCCAGACACTCGAAACACAACTCCCACCTCCCTTTAAGGTAGACTTGATGTAGCTTAAGAAACGAAGGCAGGGATTCAAGTCTAACTGAACTCTGTACCATACAATTACAGGACCTGTTATCAATAAATGGGCAGTGTCTGCAACATCAAGCAACCCTCTCCTCCCCTCCCCAGACATTAATAACCAGGCCAGGGACACAGAGGAGATTCACTTGCTTTCTCATTCCTGACACATAATCCGCCCGGCTGAGCTGCAGCTTTTAAGGAAACACTAACATTCGCAAGCTGAATCCTCAGGTTCAAAACTACTTTGGGCACTAACTAGCCTGCCTTTTCACAGCCATGACCTGTACATGGTAAACAAGCATGGAAACTTCTGTAGAACCAAAGGCCTATCAAGCTTGACAAGAGCAAACCAGAGGAGCTAGTGGGGTTTTAGGTGGCCTTGAATACTGGCACATCCTTGCCCCAGAGCACCTGGCACGCACTCACTCTCAGAAGTCTTGCTCTGACCTGTCTTCAAAGCACATGTCAGGGACTTCCTCTCCCTACTCCCTCAACCCCCAATACCCAATTTTCCCTTCCTTTAGCTGTATCCTAGCTGAGTTCCCAGTTATAGTTAAGCTCTTCCTCCAAGGACATGAATTCACATGCTCACTGCTGTGCACACACTTCCTTCCCCACGGCACCCTGTACTTAATCCCGAGACAGTAGCTGGCAAAATATACCTAATGGGCTCAAATGTCCCCACCCTTCACAGTGTTTTGTTCACAACATACCTGGCTCAAAGACTGCTCTTCAATAAATGCTTACTGGCAGATGAAATGAACCAATATTAAATTTTTGCACGTATGTGCAACTAAGCAGTTATATATTCATTCACACAGAGACACACACATACACACAAATGGATTAAACTGCACAATCACCATTTTTTTTCTCTTCAGGAGAACTCTTGTGCCAGTTTCGGAGCCAGCGGAGGAGTTTGTTGGCACAGCTCTGGTCACCTTGCTGCCCAATTATGGTCCTGAGTGAGGTTGGCTTATACTTATCGACCCAGAGCAAATGATCCAGTTTACTTTCCCGGCTGCCGTCGGCCACATTCCCGGGGCTGCTGTGCTCAGGGAGCTCCTCAGTCACCTGCTCCTGGAAGTCCAGGCTTCTGTGCAGCACACTTGGTTCCTCTGCTTCCTTGTTGGGTGATTCCACAGAGCTGCCCTTCTGGGGAGTCAGTCTGCTCTTCTTGGATTCTGACTCCTTCCGAGTTGGACTGCTTTTTCTTTTCCCTTGGCTATTTTTTCGAGGTGTTCTCTCCAATTTGGACTTTTCTCTCTTCATCTTAAAAAGTAAAAAGGTGAGGCAAAATGGAATGAGACAAAATGTCTATCCCAGCATGCTGAGACAGTTAAGCGAGTTGCCCAATCAGGTTTGGTTTTTTCACAACAGACACTGCAGGGTGTGGCAATCACCATCTTTCAGACTTCATAAAGTTTATTAAAAATGACAGTAAATTTTTTTTCTAGGTAGGAAATTTTAGTTTGAAAAGGCAGAGTAAAGGGCTAACAAAGAGATTGTTTCAAAGTTCCTTGACGATTTAAAAGTCAGTATCTCCAAATGGCACATTATCTTTCATATTAAAGACAAAAAATGGAAGCAACCCCAAAGTCCATTGACTGATGAACAGAAAAACCAAAGCTGGTATCTCCTCCACACAAGAGAATATTAAAAATGATGCCCACTACAACACGGGTGAACCTTTAAAATATCATGCAAAGTCAAAGCAGCCAGATGGAAGGACACGCTGCCTGATTCCATTTACATACAACGTCCAAAACAGACAAATGCACAGAGGTGGAAAGCAGAGGACTGCCTGCCAGAAAAACAGCAGCTTCTTTTCTGGGGGATGCAGATTCAGAAATCAGGTAGGAGGAATAGCTGCATGTTCTTGTGAATATACTGAAAACCATGGGCTTTCATAAGTTAGAAAGGTGAATCTTACAGAATACAAGTAATATCTCAACTTTCCAAGTCAATGTCCCTGCAGCGATGGCTGCTACGATTCACCTATGAATACTTTAAGAGAAACTATACATTAGCACAGTCTTAAAAGTGTCTACCGGGTCCAGAGCGATAGACTAGGGGCTAATTTCTCTCTTTACACTTGCCAGGATCCCATATTGGTATGGTTCGCATCCCAGCTCTTCCACTCCCCATCCAGCTCCCTGCTTGTGGCCTGGGAAAGCAGAGGAGGATGGCTCAAAGCCTTGGGACCCTGTACCCATGTGGAGGACCTAAAAAAGGCTCCAGGTTCCTGGTTTTGGACCATCTCAGCTCTGGCCAATGAGGTCACTTGGGGGGTGAACCAACAGATAGAAGATCTTTCTGTAATTCCTTCTTTCTGTATATGTGTCTTTCCAATAAAAATACATAAATCTTAAAAAAAAAAAGCTATCAAAACAGTTCTCAATTTCAAGGGGGAATTCAGTTTAACTAGTAGAGAAACCCAGCAGACACACAACACCATGTGCATAGGGTGTGATACAATGAGAAGGACACAGCATCACTGCTGTGGTATTCTCACCAAAATCGAACACCCTCAATAAACTCATGGGAAAACCAACAACAGAACCAACGAAGACAGGCTACAGAACAGCTGGCCAGTACTCATCAACAGCATTAAGGTCACAGAAAACCAAGACTGAAGACAGTGGAGGAGACAAAGAACACACTCAGCGCAGTGTGGAACCCTGAACCAGAAAAACGTCAACAGGGGGAAATGAATAACACACAGTTTAACAATTCCTGTTGCAACTGGACTATTGTTACATATCCAAATCATTCTCCAGATTTTTCCTAACTGGCATGAACTACCTACACCTCTTGCTTCCTGGGTGGCAGAGTTAGACAAATGAATCTTGAGATGCTGACTCTCTCTTGAGTCCTGCATCTGAAAACAACAGATATATGGTGGGAATGAATGAGGCTATTACTGGAAGAAACAGAGACAAAAGACGAAAGTGTCCTGAAAGCACTGTAGCCCTGGATCTAATGGAGCACAAAAACCCCTCCTACAACTGAGCTGTGTGAGCCAATATATTTTCCTTTTGGGCCAAAACTAATGCAAGCTTTTTCTGCCTCAATTGAAAAAGTTCGAAATACTGCTAATTTTAAAATGAATTTATCAGGGCCAGTGTTGTGGTAATAGTAAGTTAAATGGCCCCTGTAATGCCAGCATCCTATATGGGTGTGAGTTTGAGACCTACCTCTCTATTTCCTACCCATTTCTCTCTTTACAGCCTAGTAAAGCAGTGGAGGATGGTTTAAGTGTTTGGGTCTCAGCACCCATGTGGGTTGAAGAAGGCTCAGGTTCCTGGTTTCAGCCAGGCACAGCCTCAACCACAGTGGCCATTTATGGAGTAAATCAGCAGATGGAAGATCTTTTTGTGCCACTCCTTTCTCTCACTCTCTCTCTCTCTAACTCTACCTTGCAAATAAATATATAAAGAATTTTAAAATAGTCTATCATGCTGATATTTATAATACATGCTTTAAAGAACTCCTAAGCAATAACCTTTGCATAAAGTCAATGAAAGAATACAGATGACTGGTTCAGTAAATAACAAATATATGGGAATCCACTCTCTCCTCCAACTTTCTCTCCACATTCCTTTGACAAGGAAAAGTCATATATCAAACAACATATCATGAAGCAGAGGCCTTCATCCCTAGAAGACATGTAAAATCAGCTCACTGTGATAGAATGGGATGTTCATCTTTTAGCCAACTGGCTAAATCCAAAGTATGAAATACTTTGGAAAGTATGTGTGAAATAGGGAAGTTTCTTTACAGGAACTTAATTAAACCAATTTCATTTTTCACAAACCTCAGCTTCAACTGCTATTTCATACTTGGACTTCTTGCCTGGCATAGTTCGAATCAGATCCAATAGGCCATCTTCATCAATAATTTTTGTCCCTAAGGCTGCTGCCTGTTGAACAAAAAAATGCAAACCATCAACGCTACAAATCACCCATTCCTTTCAATAGACAAAAAAGAACAAGCCACATTCACTGAACAGAATCATTATTAAAATGACAGACACATTCCCTGGGAGTGGCAGATGGGCCACTGAAGTATCACATCTCTACTTCTCTGGATGGTGTCATCTTTCCTCCATTGAAAGGACAAAGCCACTAACCAGGGCCTAAATTCAGCTCCTCACACTCCTCCCATGCTTGACTCCCTGCCGGCACCACTCCACTGCGTCTGTCTCCCAGAGATGATGTACTAGAACTGGTGTGAGATCATCAGAAAGACATTGATTCTCCCAATCACCCATCAGCCCTGAATGCCAGGTGACAGCTCCAGTCAGTGAGGTGCACTTCCTCAAAAGGTATTGCTGAAAAAAAACTCCTGGGCTGCCAGTCATGGCTATTATGACATCCTGCCGCTGCTCTCTCACTCCTGCCTGAGTGCAGACTTGAATGCCTAGAGCTCCAGCTAACAGGCAACCACAAGACCATGTGAGAGCCCAGACTCAGCACACTAAAGGTGAGTGAGGCGACAGCAGGAACTCGCCTGGCTTGGCTTCATTACTGAGCTGCGGACCATTCCCAGCATGGGCATTTCTTGCTGGATGAGGAAAATAAAGCAGCTGTTAGTTTAAACCAAAATGACTTGGGTAGTCTATTACCTGGAGTTAAACAGAACCCTACCTGATACACTTGCCTCTTTCCCTAAGAGTACTGCTATGGTTTGGATTTAGTTTGATGTTGGGAACTTGCTCCTTCTGGGTGGGGGTTCTAGGAGGCAGCCTGTGGCCTTCTGGGGCCCAGTGCAAGAGATCAAAAGGTCAACAGGGCTCTGCTCTCTCTCAAAGCGGTGAAGGAGTGGCTCTCGGGCCCTTGGTACGTTCTCACCAGCACAGCTAGTTCCAGAAGCCTGTGCCTGGCCCAACCCAGCAGCCCACTCTCGAATGTGATCGTCCCTGCTGTGTGCATACTGCCAGCCACCACAGAGCTCACGGTGGTGCCTCACTGGACTTCCAGCACCCAAACCTCTCAACTAAGTAAACCTCTCCTCAGGCCACTCACCTCAGGTCTTCTGTTATAGAAATAAAACACGGACTGAGACAAACTCTCAATGAAAAACAAATGCAGATGGGTATGCCATGGCACATATAGGAATACCTAAGACTAAATGAAAACTGCAGCTGTTTCATTGTCATAAAAAGAATTCAACTAGAAGACATTAAGCAAGTCAGGAACTGTGCTTCAGTTAGAAAATCAAACTCCTGAGGTCTGAGGCAAAAACACTTCCATAGCAAGCAAAAACACTGCTTTTTCCCTTCACTTGGTGTACGGGGGGCTGCAGAGGCAAGCGAGCACAGCCCATGCGGAGAGCACGAGGAACCCACCTTGTCGCTCTTTGACTGTCCGCTGTCACGACCCATGACGAGGTAGTTGGTTTTCTTGCTGACATTTCCGGTCACTTTCCCTCCGTAACGTTCAATCAGAGATTTGGCCTCGTCCCGTTCAATGGACTCCAGCACTCCTGTGATTACAAACGTAAGCCCTTCCAAGCAATTGTCAGCTCCCTGAAAATCAAATTGTTCAAACAGAGAGGAAATGACAGAGGCATTCAAGGACAAATCTGGCATCAAAACGGCAGTAAGTTGATTCTTCTCTTGTGACATCATGAATAACTTCAGTATGAAAAAACTGCTGCTGGAAATTTACAGCAATGACCTGAAAACAAATCCTCAAAGACTTGCAGGCAGCTAACACTGAATTTACTTAGCAAAGGAAACATATCCACTAGAGATAACAAAGCTTAGTAAAATTACTCATACTGCTTTCTGTTATGCTTTTTTATTGATATTACTAATTTGCATTACTAATTTTCCTACAGAAATCCCTACTGTTCCTAAATAGGGAAAGTTTTGAATATAAAAAGCTATTAATAAGCTTGAGCACTTGTCCTCTATGCTGATGACAAATCTAACAACCTGCCAGTAACCTAACACAAGATCCAACCTAGAAGAAGTAACTCAGATAATAAAAGAGACACTGCAAAGACAGTCAGACGGGAAATAGTCTGACCCTTACCCGTAACTACGCATAACGTCAGAGTAATTACAGTCAATAAAACTGCACAACCAAGTAAAATGAGAATTATGTATGACATTCCAGATTATCATTCTTTGACTAGAGAACTGAAATCAACTGATTTAAAAGAGGCTTGAAAACAACAAAATAATACTCAAAGGTTATCCCAATATGTGTTCAATCTTCCTCTATTCAGGAAAAAAAATTTTCTTGCAACAGAAAAAGAAATACCATGAATCTGCAAAAACAGTTTGACTAACAACATTTCAATGTCCCTTCAAGCTATCGCCTCTAACACCACAAACATTTAGACCCTCCTGGAAAATTCCACATGTAAGCCTCTAGGTCCCCCACACCTCAATCACCTATCACCTCCTAAAGTCTCATGCACTATGGCTCTCAGTCTCACCTAGCCAAACTCTGGACTTCTAGCAGCCCCAGCAAACCCTTCATGACAGCAGCTCCACAGCTCCCATTCCAGCAGGGGCAACCATCCAACACTTCCAGCCTCTTCTCCAACATTATCTCCTGAGCTCTGCCCTCTGGACACTGGTCCTTTGAGGGCCACTGCTTCCTGCACTCCACTCACCAGCTACACCATCCTCACCCTCTCATTATGAACAGAGCTAGCAACCTCCCTATGTAGCCACACATATCAAGCAAAATGAAAAATAAACGCACATGGATATCCTCAGAACTCTCATACTGCATTTGATCATGCTCCTCCTTCTAGTATTAACTTCATTCTTTCCATTTGTGCTGGGATCTGTCTCACGAGCAAAAGTATTATTTTAAATATCTACTATTGGGCCTGGCATCATAGCCTTGCAGCTAAATTCCTCACCTTGCACACACCAGGAACCCAAAGCCTTGGGATCCTGCACCTGCTTGGGAGACCCGGAAGAGGCTCTAGGCTCCTGGTTCCTAGCTTCGGATAAGCTCAGCTCCAACTGCTGGTGACCACTTTGGGAGTAAATCAGTGGACAGCAGATCTTTTGTCTCTCCTTCGTTCTGTAATTCTGACTTTCCAATAAAAAATAAATTTAAAAAAAACTACTATTTTAAAATGCATTTTTCCCCCTAAATCTCATCTTCCATGCCTAGATACAATTCTCTGTTCTCCTCTTCACAATCAAACTTACCAAAAATATTATCTACTTACGCTGTCTCCATTTTATCTCTGCACACAATTCAACCCACTTCCATTAGGCTCATTCTCCACCATTTTGTTGACTGCTGCTGCCAAGGTCACAAGGGGCCACTGCTCACAGTTCTAAGCACAACAGACAACTGCTGGTGACCTCATTCCTAAGATCCTCACAACATGACACACTCCCCACTCAGTCAGGATAACCAATGCAGTCCCCCTGCTCTGCTTCCCAAACACCAGCTTTATCAGCTTTTTCTCCTCTGTGCCTACTGCCTCTCCGTAGCCCTCTGGCTTGTGTCCTCATCACCTCAAGGGGGAGCTGCCAGGTGGTACTGACTCCTTCAAGAATTATCCAAGTGTGTGGGACCCGAGCTGCAGTCTGCTCAGCAGCCACGAGGCACCTCACATACCTTGCCTGAAGCAGAGCATGGCCAACAATGAACTCGCCAGCTCCCCAGACGGCTCTGCCTCCTACTGCGTCAGCCTTCACTCAGGTGCAAAGATAATCCCCGACACGCACCCACCTTTCCTGTCGCCAATCATCACCAGGTCCTGAAGAGTTAAGGCCTCCGATAAAATCACTTCACTTTTCAGCACTTGCCCTCGACGCAAGTTCCTACCCTTGCTCACAGCTCTACAAACCTGCATGCCTGTCCCTGCCGCTGCCCTCCACACTCAACAGGCAGAGCGATCGCTCCAAAATGCAGATCTAATCATGTTATTCTCCCCTGTTAAAGCTCCTTTTCTTAGGCAGGTCCCTCAACATGCAGCTCATTGCCACCTTCAGTCACCCTCATCTCATGGTCACCATGCCCCAACTGTATCACTTTCTCCCAGTGCCTCAACACAACAGCCACACTCCTTCCCAGCTCAGGGATACGACACACTCCGGGCCCTCTGCCCACATCACTGTCTTTACCACAGAAACCCCCTTTCACTCTTCTAGGCTCCATGTAAATGTCACTTACTCCGCCTGCCCATCAATAGCCAGAAGTTTCTGCTGCCCTGAAGCCATCTTAGGCTTTCTCCTCAAGGTTCATGTGACAATTTCAACTGAATAACAATTGATTTAATGTTTCCTTCCTTAAACTCTAAGTGCCATCAAGCACCTAGGTGAACAGAACAGCCTTAGCCTTCTCACATTATATTCTCAAAGTGCAGCCCCTCCAGAGTGACTTGCTATTTAAAGGAAAACTTTTTCAAGATTCAGGCAGCAGGGCTCGATGCGGTGGCCTAGTAGCTAAATCCTCGCCCTGCACACACCAGGATCCATATGGGTGCTGGTTCATGTCCTGGCTGCTCCACTTCCCTTCCAGCTCCCTGCTTGTGAACTGGTAAAGCAATGGAGGATGGTCAAAAGCCTTGGCACCCTGCACCCACACAGGAGACCCAGAAGACGCTACTGGCTCCTGGCTTCAAGATCAGCTCAGTTCCAGCCGTTGTGGCCACTTGGGAAGTGAATCAGTGCAAGGAAGATCTTTCTCTGTCTCTCCTCTCTGTAAATCTGAATTTCGAATTAAAAAAAAAAATCAAGCATTGGCTTAAAATATGAATAAACACCCCAAACTCCAGGAGCCAACAGGCGAGGCTTCCCTCATTGATCTGTATTAATTCTCTGCCACTGAGCACAGAACTGGTACCACAGGGCAGGCCCTTGCACCACAGCAGCCTCTCAGCACTCTTACCTTGGGGATCTCCTTGGAGCCCAGGGCTTTGGGACCTTCCCGATTTAAGTAGCTTCGATAAGCTTGATAGTTAGTGCGTTTCTTTTCGGAATCTTCAGGACTTAAAGACTTTTGGAAAAGAAGATTAGAAAAGGTCACACAAAATGCACACAAATCTTAATAATTCTGTAAGTCTAGAAATTAAAAAGTCATTAACGATCATGTACTCCTCCTTAAGTATGCCTGACTTATACGCACCACTTCATCCAATCTTCTCAAAACTGTCCACTCCCTAAAGACACATCCCCCAGAACAGGTTAAGAGCAAAACATTAGGGTCAGCTCGAAGCAAAGAACTAGGGAAAAAGTTTTCTTCCAGACACTTGTATGCATCTTCAATTCTATTCCATGATCTATCCATATTTTAAAGAATAAATGTTTCCTCAAGGATATTTGATCATAAAAGATTTCCCAAGTTGGTCCTATGACCTTGCTGCTCCCAAATGCCCCCTTATCCCTAGGCAGACAAGCACCACAGTGGGAGACGCACAAGTTCCCGTTACACAGGCAGCTCCAGCAGGGTCAGTCAACTCTGGGGCACACGCACACAACCCCGCCACTATGCCCTGCAAGATTTTCTCTCTCCTCTGAATCTATCTCCTATTGTTCCTATCCTAGGGTATCTCAGATACATCCCATATCCAAGCACCTGATTCAGACAGGTGGAATATGGCCAGAATAGACAGACTGGCAGAAGAGGGGTTCAAGAGAATTCTGATTTAAACGGACTGGAGATCATTTTGCTGAGTGAAATCAACCAAACACAGAAAGACAAATACTATAAGCTTTCTCTCACACGTGAAAGCTAATATTTATATATAACGTAATTCTGATTTAAGAACCAATACAAGAGTCTGTTGCTTTTCTACTTCCTATCTTACCTTATTTTTAACTTCTGAATTTTAACTTGCCAGCAAGCCCAAATATCTTTTAGGAATAAACAAAATCCTGCTGCTTTAAAATAAACAGTTAACCAACAAAATAGTTAAGCTAGTTTGGCTATGTTATGAGTTAACCAAGCCACTATGGAAAGCTAAACGGATCCACCCCTGGCCTGTAACAATGTATTCCACATAGCACAGTACGTCCATACTGGGTGATGAGCTAATCCAAATACAGCTGCTCAGACCCCAGGCCCTCGGAGACCACATCTTAAGGAAGAAAGTTTCACAAGACAACCTAATTCATTTTTCTATGGGGGAAAAAATCTGAATCATAAATTATTCACAAAGTAACTCTGAAGCACACCCCTGCTAAAGTCAAAGTTATCTAAGATCTACTGAATCCATGAAATAAGCTCCACTGTCACCAAAACCACTTAAGTTCTCTGAGCTATTCCTATTCCAACTTTGAAAAGTACAGTGGAAAATAATGGCATCATTTAAAAATTCCCTCGTTTCATAAAAATAGGCAGCCTTTGTAAACTAAATATGCTTATTGGGCTGGAAGAAAAACATTTGTCCACCAAGTAAGTATTCAGTGAAGAAAAATCTGAGACCAAAAAGTTAATTGTCCCTTTAAGCATATTTATGAGCAATGTCCACAAACAAAACATTTTGAATCATCAGCATTTCATGGTTCTGCACTAGAAATTAATGGTGATGAGCAGTTAAAATAGACAATATTTGCCTCTAATGCTAAGTGCCTAATAGGCAAGAACAAATAGTCGCTTCTCATTACAAATCTAAAGTGGTTCCAAACTGAAGACTGGAAGATGGAAGAAACTGCTAGCTTCTCAAATAAATCTGAAAACAAAATTTCCATAAAGCATTCATTATTTCATTTTTTTCTATGAAAAACAGTTTCAGCATTACAACACTGTTAAGAGCAAAAAGGTGTAAATTCAGGACAAATTTCAGTAACAATTATTTTAACAACAACAGCTGATAACTTTTATGTCACAGGTTGTTTTATGAACTCTTTTTAATAACCTTGTGAAATATTTGACTTTAGTATTTTTGGTTTTCTTAAGACTTATTTATGTGAAAGGCAGAGCGAGAGAGAGAGTCTTCTACTTGCTGGTTCTCCCCTTAGATGGCCACAGCAGCTGGGACGAGCCAGATGCACATGGAGAATATGGCAGCTCACTGGGTACCACAGCACAAGAAAGAAAACAGAACAAATTGGACAACTATCCCAGCCAAACTATGACAGCAAATATGTGGGTGAACTGTGTCAACCAATGCACATTGGAAGGATTTCCTCCTCCATGGAGTCGACAGCATTGCAGAACTGTCACATCCACCTAGGCAGAACCCTTGGAGTGTGCGCCACATCAGGACCTGGCTGATACTGGCTGGCCTTTTCATCCCTGGTTGCTGAGCTGGTTGGGGGCTAGTTGTGGCTTCTCCCCTTATCTCCCCGTTTCCCCCAGAAACAGGAAGAAAAAAGAGAAAATTCAGAAACAATGATCACACCCACTTTTCCCTAACCCTGGATCCTTCCCACCCTGATCAACAATGTAACAACACCTAAAATTAACAACAACAACAAAAAAAAAACTGCACCAGAATATGGCCCAAGCTGGGGCCCCTGCTACCCACATACAAGACCTGAAGGAAGTTCCTGACTCCTGGCTTCAGCCTGGCCACTGAGGCCATTTGGGGAGTCAACCAGCAGATGGAAGATCTCTCTGTAACTCTATCTTTCAAACATATAAATAAATTAAAAAAAAAAAAAGGTACTGTTACAATGACTTAGAAATAAAACCTGAGTGGCTAGCATTGTGGTATAATGCCCGTCCCACTTCAGAGCGCCTGTTTAATGCCCCACTCCTCTACTTCCAATCCAGCTTCCTGCTAATGCACCAAGGAAGGCAGTGGAAGATGGTGAAGTACTTGGGCCCTTGTCACTCATACAGGAGAGCAGGGTGGAGTTCTTGGCTCCTGGCTTTGAACTGGCTTACTCCTGGTTGTTGGGACCATTTGGGGAGTGACCCAGGAGACGAACAGCATCTCTCCCTCCTTCTTGCCTTTCTTCCCTCCTTCATACTATCTTTCAAACAAAGACATCAACTTTTCTAAAAAGTAAAAATGATCAAAATCACAAACACAAATTCACAGCCCTAAAATAAATACATATTATAAAATGCCTACCTCTTTCTTAGCTGGAGAACTTTTGGCTTTCTTAGGAGTGTTTGTCTCTCTTTTCACTTCCACAGTGTTCTCTTTTCTTTTTGAGGCCAGAGGCTGTGTTTCCTTACTGCAACTCTGCTCTCTCATTTTCATCGCGGATAGCTTAGCACTGGCCTTCGGAGAAGAGGACGCCTCTGCTCGGAGGGCTGCGGGCTTGGGAGGCCGCAGGGCTTCCTCTGGACCACTGCACTTTGTCTGCTTCTTAGGACTGCAGCTGTTTCTCCCATCTGAAAGTTGTTCTGTTTTTACCAAGAAAAAAAGAAAAGACATGACTGTTATTTTTGGAAAAGGATAGCAACCAGTCTTTCATTTTTCAGTACAGTAATCTTAGTGCACGACAGGATATGATGATTTGAAAACATTTGTTTTACCTTAGTTCTTTATACATTTTTTTTAATGAAACATTTGCAGGCTACTTCCTTGCCTTGTTCAAATTAAGAGATTGGTCTAGATGTTCTCATATAAACTCATCTTTTGATAGCCTAAGCTAAACCAAATAACATGTACATTCCAAACACATATTCTGAAATTTGTACACTAAAAACATACTAACTAGAATACGTCACATAAAAATCCTGTGTTTCGGGCTAACACATCTGGCAGTTAAGATCCCCACTTCCTACACTGGAGAACCTGGGTTCAATTTCTGGCACTGGCTCCTGACTCAACCATCCTGTTAAAACAGGCCCTGGGAGCCAGTGTAGAAGGCTCCAATAACTGGGGCCCTGCCAATCACAAGGGAGACCTGAATAGAGTTCCTGGCTCCCAGTTTCAAATGTCAGCCCAGCCCTAACCACTGTAAGCAGAGTGGGGAGTGAGAGCAGAGGGGAGCGCCTTCCTCTAAAGTTAAAGACAATAATCCGTAAATGAGAACCCAAACTCCTGAGCTGTCAAGACCGGAAGATAACATAGCCACAAACTGACTTGTAAGATCAAAGCCATCCATACTGGCCAACTATGCAATATCAGAACCAACACATGAAACCTACAATTGGTAGGAATTCGTCCAATAACCTGATCCAAAATAAGTCAATTCTATTGAATTATCTCTACTGAGAGAAGCTCAAAACATACAGCTCTTCATCCTCAAATACTGAATTTTCACAATTTGCCCTAAATGTAAAGGTAACAAGAAGCTAAGAGCTATATACTGCATCTCTCAAAATAGTTCATATCCAAATAGTTTTTCAAAGAACATACTCTAATAGCTATGACATAACGTCTAACAATGTAATTATTGTACAGAATGTTTTAACAAGGTTATCATGATTTTTCTTCAGTACAAAGAAATGCTCAATCTTGATTTTGTGCTAGAATTACCTTTATGAGGTTGGTTATGTTTTTCTGCTTTACTTAAATTGGTCTGAACAGATGAAAACATTTCTCCCTCGTCTGTGTCCTTTTGAACCTAAACAAATTTTTAAAATGTCAAACATGACTAATAAAAGAAAAACTATTACCATAAAAATCTGTTGCTAAATCAATGAAAGTTTTAATTTTAAGATTGCCTTCTATCAAGTAGGACAATAATGATCATCTGTCATGCATTCACACAGGGAATTTCCAGGACAAACATATGTGTCTTATTACGCTCTTTACAGATGAACAAATAGATAAAAGGGTATAAACAAACATTTATAAAAAGTATCCCAAGAGCCAGAGCTGTGATACAGTGAGTAAAGCCAACACCTGCAATGTTGGCATCCCGTATGGGTGCCGGTTTCAGTCCCAGCTGCTACACTTCCAATTCAGCTCCCTGCCAATACTCCTTTTTGGAAAGCAGATGACTGCCCAAGTACTTGGGCCTTTGGCACCCACATGGGAGACCAGGATGAAACTTCTCCCAGTTTCAACATGGCCCAAGCCTGGCCACTGAAACCATTTAGGTAGTGAACCAGCAGATGAAAAATCTCTCTCTCTCAAATTCTGCCTTTCAAATAAATTATTCAAAACGATCCTAATTCGGGCACGGCGCGGTGGCACAAGTGGTTAAGGTCCTCGCCTTGCACGCCCGGGATCCCGTATGAGCGCCGGTTCTATCCCGGCAGCCCCGCTTCCCTTCCAGCTCCCTGCCTGTGGCCTGGGAAAGCAGTCGAGGATGCCCAAAGGTTTGGGACCCTGCACCCGCATGGGAGACCCGGAAGAGGCTCCTGGCTTCGGATCAGCATAGTATTGGCTGTTGCGCTCACTTGGGGAGTGAATCATCGGACGGAAGATCTTCCTCTCTGTCTCTCCTCTCTGTGTATCTGCCTTTCCAATAAAAAAAAATAATAAAAATAAATCTTTTAAAAAAAAAGATCCTAATTCATCCTACCTCACAAATTTGGAGACATTAATTCTGTTTATCTCAATTTTCAAACTGTTAGCATTACATAATAAAAAACCAAAATCTCCAAAGACTGAAATGAAAACAAACTAAAGCTAAAAAGAAAAACAAGACAGTACTCTTTCCAAAATGGAAAAATAATATTCCCCACATGGTTTCCTGAGAACTGCCTCTCCTAGAGAGGTCAAGGGGAACATCAGAGCTGCTGCAAAGACATCAATGCCTCTGTCCCACATCTTAGTGCCTGGCTCGGAAACTGACTCTGTGTCTGCTTTTAGCCAAAGCACTGCCTGAGAGGCAACGCACGAAGGCTCCAGCTCTGTAGCCCTGTGAGAGCCCTGGCTTGAGTTTTGGGATCCCAATTTCTGCCTAGACCATCCCCAGCTCTTGCAGGCATTTGGTAGGGAACGGGAGTCTACAGACAGAAGACCTCTCTGCATCTCCTTCTCTGTCCTTCAAATAAATGTTTAAACAATCAAACAAAAACAGAAGATACAAATTGAAACGCAGGCCACAATTTTTAAAATAATTACAATTTGGAGGCTACCATTGTGGCATAGCACATTAAACCACTAGCCTATGATGTCAGCATCCCATATGGTTAGCAGTTTCAGCACTGCTCTGCATTTATTTATTTTTCTGTTGGAAGGGCAGATATACAGAGAGAAGAAGAGACAGAGAGAAAGATTTTCCATCCACTGGTTCACTCCCCAAGTGGTTGCAATGGCCAGTACTGGGCCAATTCAAAATCAGGAACCAGGAGCTTCCTTTGAGTCTCCCACGCAGGTGCAGGGTCCCAAGGCTTCAGGCCATCCTTTACTACTCTCCCAGGCCACAGGCAGGGAACTGGATGGGAAGTGGAACAGTCAGGATACCAACCGACATCCATATGGGATCCCAGGGTGTGCAAGGCAAGAATTTAGCCACTAGGCTATCAAGTCAGGCCCAGCTGCTCTGCTTATGATCTAGTTCCCTGCTAATGCATTTGGGAAGACAGCAGAAAATAGCCCAAATGCTTGGGCCCTGCCACCCATGTAGGAGACCCAGCTGGAGTTCCTGGCTCCTGGCTTTGGCCTAGCATAGCCTGGCCATTTCATTTAGGCAGTGAAAGATCTTTCTCTCTCCAATATTTCTTTCAAATAAAAAAACTTATGTTTTAAAAAAAAAACTGAGTTATAATTTGATTATCTTTAGATGGAATAATTTTTTTTCAATAATAAAGTCCCATCACTCCCTACTGTTTCATAACTGCATGCTCATACAGTATCTAAATTTATAATCTTTAAAAGAGAGAAGTAAAACCTTTTAAAGTAGGAACTGATATTGACAATTATATTACGAGAATGTGATTCTTCAGCAAGAAAGCTAATTTACTGGAGTCCAAAAATCTGTTCATTATTAGAGATCACTCTAATAACATAGCTCTTAAAGTTAGCTTCCTGAAAAGACAGCAATTACTCAACTCGTATATGCAAGAATTTTTCTGAGTACCATTCTCCAAACAAGCACATAAGCATTGCCGTGACTCCAGGTAAGGGCCAGGGCTAGTTCATTCTTTCGTGAAGAACGAATCTGCTTCCTTTGGTTTTGTCAGCTTTCAGACAGAAAGAATTAAATTTCTTAATGAGTCATCTAAGACCATTTTCAGAAATTAAAATAACGTAGCTTCTTTCTGGGAGTTACTCATGGTGGCATTTCCAGAGACTGGAAGACACAGGTAAGGAGAAAGACACGAATTTGGATGATACTCTCAGAGTGTGAACAGCCCAACAAGTGCCACCTTTTTGACTCTGGGTTCTTCATCCAACATGGCTAACGTTCTGGCAAATTCTTCATCTTCATGCAATTGCCTCTCCAGCTGTAAAAAGTGTCAACACAATGAGTTGTTTTTGTTCCTTATGTAAACAAAAAGTCTTTAAATGTCAGGTTCAAATACTTAGGGGAACATGGAAAAACATTTCCCAGAAAATAACCGTAACATTTTCCCACTTAACAGTCAAGTAAATATCACAGTGAAATTTCACTGAGCCAAATTACATTTTAAACTATATGTACATTTCTAACCTTCCAGGAACAATATAGAAATGCAACATTTTTAAATTGCATTTCTTATAAAATATGAAGTCAAGTTTTCTTTAATGGTCCTAATAAAATTCAACTATTTCTATATATTTTAAACTCTAGAATGTCTCTGAAATGAGCTGCAGCCAAGCAGGGTAACTGGAAGGCACAAAAACACACAGCCAGCAGTTGCAGATGTAGTCTGGAAGGTGACACGTGGGCTGCAGGACATCGCCCTAAGCCTGTGAAGGATGAGAACACCTTCCTTTTCTGATTTCCACACAGTGCCCAGCTCGCCTGAGCTCCCTACTTCCCTACCATGTCTTCGTAGGCTCCTTGCAGGACCTTAAGCCTCCTGGTGTCTAAACATCAGTAACATCCTAGAGCTCAATCCTCAGACCCTTGTCTCCTTTTCTTTTTTTCTCCCTGATCTCATCCTGTTAAAGTGCCATTAAATGTCATTCAAATGCCAGCATTCCCAAACGCATGCCTTCAGCTTCCACCTCTCCCTGGAGCGCCACACTCCTCCATCCAGCCATGTACCCTGCATCTCCACCAGGAAGCCTATCAGACATCTCAAGGTTAACAAGCCAAAAGCTGAACTCTTCACTTTCTGTATCAAATTGCTTCTGCTGCCTATGTTTCTGCTCAGCCGCTCAAGCCTCCTTATCTACAGCCTATCAACAACTTGAAGGCTGCATTTCCAAAGCGATTTTAGATGAGACCTCTTCTCACCACCCAACTGGGACCACCCAACATCTTTTCTCACCTTCCCTGCAGCCTCAACACTGGTCAGCTGTACGGTTTTGCCCATCATGGTTCAGCAGCACCACAAACATCAGAATAATTTTCTTCAAACAATCATCCAGTCATGTTACTTCTCTATTCAAAACTCTAAATCACTCGCCATCTCACAGAACTAAAATTCAAACTTCACCAACACACAGTTCTTTGAGCAGGTATCAAAGACCTAGAGGATTTGCAGCTGGCCATTGCTCCAAAACGATCTCACACCACTCTCCTTCTCAACCACTCACACTCATCTCTGGCCCTCAGAGAGCAAATTTTCACCTTGAGCTGATTTTACCTACTGCCCCTCCAGGTTCTGGCACCATGGCTCAGTGTCACTCCATCTTGTGCCCCAGAATCACCTCCTCAGAGGAACTTCCTAACACCTCCACATAAAATTAATCACTCGTTACCCCACATATCACTCCTAAACCACCTTTCAACCTCTCTTCATAAAGCTTAGTATAATCACCTTTCTATTAACTTTCTAACTGTAGTATACTTAACACCTACAGCCGTGCTAGGTACTTGAATAAATATGCAGGTTTACAACATGAGGAAGAGCCCTGAAGTGGAGCCATCAGTACACAAGTGGTAACTAAAACTGTAACAATGGATGAGATTGTTCAAGATGAAAAAAGATATGAGTAAATTAAATTTGTTTAAACATACATTCAATAAATTCTAAAAATAAATCTTTAAGTAAAAAATTATCCCTGCATTTCATCATTTATCTTTTGTGAAATTTAGATTCTTACATATTTTAACAACTTTCTTGCCTTTAACTTCCAATGAGGCTCAATTAAAAACTACACCAGGGACCTGGTATAGTGCCCTAGCAGCTAAAGTCCTCACCTTCAATGCACCGGGATCCCATATGGGCACCGGTTCTAATCCCGGCAGCTTCACTTCCCATCCAGCTCCCTGCTTGTGGCCTGGGAAAGCAGTGGAGGTCGGCCTAAAGCCTTGGGACGCTGCACTTGCATGGGAGTTCCGGAAAAGCTCCTGGCCCCTGGCTTCGGATTGGCGCAGCACTAGCCGTTGCAATCATTTGGGGAGTGAATCATCGGACGGAAGGTATTTCTCTCTGTCTCTCTCTTCTCTATATATATACATATCTGACTTTGCAATAAAATAAATAAATCTTAAAAATGCTATTCAAACAAACTGTCCATACCTCAGCATCTTCATCAAGTTGCAATTGCCTGGCAATGGCTTCATCATTTAATCTGGAATCGTCTGTGTTTTGTGAAGGCTGTATTTCATAGAAAATCAAGCAAGAACAGCATAAATCTTCAGTTAAAAAAATAAGGCACTTTTTCTTGATTAAAGCTGACTGAATATACCAGTGGACAACAAACATTATCAGTAATAGTTCACATCAGCCATCAGGTCAAACTTATGGCTACTATGTGACCCGATGTTCTAAGGAGTTAATATCCTAGAGTTAGATGGTCCTATCTTCTATTGATATGTCAAGAGAAGTATAAAACACACACACACACACACAAACCCATAGATAACGTTTGCCTTGATAAGTAGTACAGAACACTGGCAAACTCTGTAAGAGTGATGACACTGTCCTATGGAAGCACTGAGGAAACCAAGCACGCCCTTTTGCAGCATGCTTTATCTAACTCAGGAGATCACTCACACTATAATTTATCTGAATGCTTCCTGAAAGACCAGAAAAATATGGACCAAATTATCAGCCAAACAAGAAAAGGTCAGAAGAATGGCTTAGATATACTCTACGTAAGAGATACACATGCAATCTTATTTGGGAACACTATTATTGTCTAATTTTGTCTGCTGAGGTAAACAGTAAAATGAGTTTGTATTCTGAAAATTCAATTTAAATTCTAAGAATTATAATTTTTTTCTTAGCAGTATGAACAATGTTTTCCCATTTCTAAGTATAAATAATTAAATGTGTAATACTCTAATTTCCTTATTTTTTTAATCAAGGCAACAAAGCTTAACCATAATCACAGGAAAAGCATTTTCATCTAATAAAACATTTTTGTAAAATCCTAATTTCTGCCTTTATTAGTAACAGTGAATGAGAACAAATCCTGAACATTCTCGATTATATATAAAACGCTCACTTCTTTTTTTTTGCTCGCCACCATCTTCTTATCAGATCTCTGGACACTTCCAGTCCCAAAATAATCAAGCACTGATGTGGGAGTCAGCTTGATGGGCGACAGAGGCTTGTTTTTGGTCTTGATGTTCTCTTCATTCTTTTTCAGGTTGGATGACCCAAGGTAACTGTGTGTAGCTCTTCCATTCTCTTTAGACTTGGAGCCTGCCTTCTTACACACAAAGTCATCATCCTCATCTTAGGTGGAAAAAAAATGTTTATATCATTAATTGCTTGAAACTATTCTCCCATTTTAAAAGAAGCATACAAGAGTTTGTTCGGAGTTGATAATAACATTTTTACTTCCTATCTCCCAAGCTCAGTAGTTGGGTCATAAGCCTAAACACCATAATCCAAATGTGGAAATTCTGAAATCCCTGTATTCTAAAATCCTGGAAACATAATGTTGGAAAAAAATGTTTTTAACTCTTCAAAGACATTTGTTTACACATTTAAAAGAGATTTCAGAGTTATATACACTCAGGCCATGTACACAAAAAGTGTATAGTAATAATTCTGTAAGTATAAACACTCAAATATGCAAATGGCAGTCACAAAGGTATGACAGTTGTAGCAGATGAATAATATTCATAAATAAGTAGGGCATGGTTGACGTTGTGACATAGCAGTTGGTGCCACCCAGGATGCCAGCACCTATATGGGAGCCAGTTTGAGAACCAGCTGCTCCACTTCTGCTAATCCACCTGGGAAAGCAGCAGACAATGGCCCAAGTACTTGGGCGTCTGCCACTACATAGAAGACCCCAAAGAAGTTTTAGACTTCTGGCTTCAGCCTAGTACAACCCCAGCTGTTATGGCTATGTGGGCAATGAAATGGCTGATGGAAGCTCTATCTCCTCCCCTCTTTCGCTATAATTCCTTCAATAAATACAAAATAAATCTTTTTAAAATTTTATTTATATTTATTTTATATTATTTATTTTTAATAAATAAAACTTATTTAATCTTTTAAAAAGGAAAACGGCAATAAGCAAATAGTCTGTTGCTGACATCGGTAACTATGTACATGCAGATTTGTAACTATGGTCATATGAAATGCTATGCTGAGCAGCATTAAGTCTTCTGACAAGCTTAAATCACATAAACCACAACAAAGGGGCAGGATGATGGCACAGCATGTAAAGCCCACACCTGCAAAGCCATTATCTCATCCAGCTGCCCGACTGCTGATCCAGCTCTGTGCTCATGTGTCTAGGGAAAGTGGAAGACGACCCAAGTACTTGCGCCCCTGTCATCCATTTGGGAGACGAATAGAGTTCCTCAAGCTGGTCCAGTGCCAGCCACCACTAAAGCCATTTGGGGAGTGAACCACAGACAGAAGACCTCTCCCTCTGTCTCTCCCACTCTCTATCAAATAAATAAATCTAATTCATCAAGAAAGAAAATGGGTTACTATTGCATATGCAGTCACCTAAAGAGCCAAGATCTCGAGAAATTTTATCTTTCACAAATGCAGATGTAATGAGGACATCTTTTGATCTACTGGGGAGGTTTGAGTATTTTTACATAGACCCATAACACAGAGTCAACTTCGCAGTAATACGTTTCAGCTGAACAAGATGTGCAAGCAAGTCCATTAAAAGACCAAGACCCTCCAAAAGTCTTCAATTTCTAGCTCCACCATCAGAAGGTGTAGTGTACACACAGATTACATAGACTGACACACATCACAATTATATGTAATCCCCAACAGCTGGCTGACTTTCATGATCATTAACTGCATTTTGAAGTCTTACATTCCTACACACAGCCACTTTGTTTTCTTTCAAGGCCTGGCTCTCCCTGAAGATCATGTTCACTTTCCACATGGCACTGTGCTTTCTGCAATTGTTCCATGATTAGATATAGTTCAACATGAGAAGTCCTCATTAAATTTTCCAGACTCTGTGTCATGCTTCAACGCCATTTGTGGCATCCTGAACTCTAAGCCAAGCACAATTCTATACAGATCACAAATCTCCATATCATTGTGTGCACTGTGCTTCCTATCCTTGCAGGCATTAACGATTTTTGCTTCTTCAGGCAAATGAGGCTTTAATCCATTCTAACCTCCTGGAATTTCACCAGCTGGAAGGAATGCTGCTGCAGACAAATAACGCATTCTTTCTAACTGAATCAGTCTCTTCATTCCTTGGGGAATCTCTTCCAGAGTTAGCTACATTCATTGTAGGAGATATAACATGCAAGGCTCCACGTTAAGTGCTGGCACTGCTATGGGCATAGCATGGTCTCTCCTGCTGAAACTCAAAAGTTAACTTTTGGGGCCCAGCACGATGGCGCAGTGGTTAAGGTCCTCGCCTTGTAAGCCCGGGATTCCATATGGGTGCCGGTTCTAATCCTGGCAGCCCCGCTTCCCTTCCAGCTCCCTGCCTGTGGCCTGGGAAAGCAGTCGAGGACAGCCCAAGGCTTTGGGAGCCTGCACCCACGTGGGAGACCCGGAAGAGGCTCCTGGCTTCGGATCGGCATAGCATCGGCCGTTGCGGCCACTTGGGGAGTGAATCATCGGATGGAAGATCTTCCTCTCTGTATCTCCTCTCTGTATATCCACCTTTCCAATAAAAATAAAATAAATCTTTAAAAAAAAAGTTAACTTTTGGCTCTTGTTTTTTATTGTTCAGCCCTAGAATCTGCCACTGTAGCCGCTATCTGTAAGCAGCCTGTGCCCGGCAGCAGTGCTCAGCACCCAGGCTTAAGCTTCTCCAGAAGCACTTAGCACAGATTTAGCTCAGCCGTGTGGAACACAAGCGCCATTGCCTCAAATGAGAAGCTCAATGCATTCCATCTTTAGACAACCTACAGGACAGGTTTTTCCCTCAAACAACAATGCCTTCACTCCACAAAAAGCACAGCCAAAACAAAGAGCCCAAGATGACACAAGTCTCCTTTGTGGCGAATCCTGGTTCAAGGTGGAAGGCTGGCTGGTTATGACAGTGACAGATCCATAATCAAGGCCAAATTTACTAAAGTTCCCATTCCTAAACTATCCTTAAAGAAAATCCCAGCTGGAGTCACACTATCATCCTAGCAGTTCAACCGGGCAACCATGACATGTGGATTCCTGTGTTCGTCAATGAAGAACTGGCCCTGTCGGGAAGTGCCAAGGATGTGCTTACCTGTTGCACAGCCCCTGTCATAAAAGAGCTCTGTTCTCCTAGTCTGCCTTTTACTGATTCAGTGTATTTCTTAGGGTTTGGAGTATTTTTTTGTGTGTGTGTGTGGAGCTGTTTTCCTGAAAGTTTTGGTTCACAACATTATCAAGTTATCAATACCAGGATCACCATGCTTCATTACTTCTACCTTTGGGGTCTTTGGTGGGAACATTTCCATGGAGGAGCAATTCGTCGATGTTATCGCCATCCTTCTGCTCCTGTGCCCCTCAGGACCTCCACACACAGCCTGCCCACAATCTCACTATCTCATCCTCACTGATGAGATCCGGGTAGCTAATCCTGCCAGCAGCTGGAATGGGGACGATGGCAGCACGAGCACAATAGAGTGTGTATGACAGCAGTACTCAGGGAAAGGCAAGTAGGCAGGAGAGCAAACGCATTTGTAAACTTAAGTTTTCATCATCGTTCCCAGACCCTATGGCCAATCACTTCCTCACTTTTTGCCCACTATATAATTCCCACCCCCACCCCAGCAACTGCAGTTTTGTGATTTCCAATCTCAGCATTTCAACATTCCACAAGACCTCCAAGAAATCATGCATGTATTAGATAGCTCTACACTGTCAACCACAACCAACTAGACCAAGTGGGCACTTGATTAATGTGGTGCCAACTCCATCCCTGGTCAATTTCCTGTACTGCCTGATGCATGTAAACCAAGGTACTAATGGCTTGCTCCTATTTTCACTGACATCAGTGACCTCCTATTACACTCCCGTCCTTGATTACACTAAGCAAGGTTTTATTCTTAACCTAGAAGCACAGATTTTACCAAAAGCATTAATGTACTTATCTCCAACCATATTTAACCTACCTTCAAGCGTAAATTAAAAATCCACATATAAATCTTACCAATGCACATCAAAGCCTTGCTACTTCACAGACTCTGCATCAACTGTGCCAACAGGTCCTCACACATCTGCTCTCCCTCCCTATCAGATCTTTGCTGCCCCTTTGCCAAACATGAAAACAAGTCAGATTCACAGCTCTGCAAAGTCAAAGCGACATCACCCCACTCCATTCCAATAAACAGCCTTGTGGGTCACCCCAAACAGTGCTAGAGGACCACTGAGAAACAATCTGAAACTCCTTTCCTTTTCTCTAAAATAATAACATAATGATTTATGACATAACAAAAACCCAAATAATTCTTTATAGTTGACAGTTGGTCTTTTTTAGACCCAGTTAAGCTATAGCATAACCAAACCAGTAGCAAATAACAAATTATTCTATTTAGTAAGTTAATAAAAATTTTGCAAAATACATTTGAAGGAAAAAAAAAAAACCAGTAACATCACTTACACCCAGTTTAATAAAGGAGGAATAGAAAGGATGGATTAAGGGTAGCAGCAAAGGGAGTAGGGAAAGCAATGAAGTTTTACAATGTGAGAAAAAACATAACCTAAGCATGTATTAATATGTTCATTCACATAATGGAATTCTAAGCATTAAAAATTATGTATATCCACACTGCTATATCCACATTTATGAAGTAACATAATAGAATGTTAAAGGACATATATTTGGATACATAGCAAATTCACAACAACAAAAAAATAAAAACACTGACAATTTTTATCCAGGTAAAGCATTCCAAATGAGCTTCTTGTTCTCCTGTCTGTTACACTTCTCTCTCTTATGAACTGGGCCTAACATTTTACAGTAACTATGCCTGGGAAAATCTGCAACCTCACGGCTTCCAGAAACCGGGATTTCCCTTCTCCCCACCTTCTGTGTTACTCCTGATCTCTTAGTACACATACTCCATTTTCCACTAACACTCAGCCTAGGCTTATGGACTTCCCAGACTGAGCAATGTTATCTCAAAATGAACCCCTTGTTCTTTAGTGGACAGCATGTACTCTGCAGGAAATATTTTAACTTGTATTTAATCAAAATACCTTCCTGTGAATTTCACCTATTTTCCTTAACCTATCCTGTGAACAAGAAAGGAAGTTTACTTCCCCAGATTCAGCACAGGAAAACCGCCTTCAACACTTCCTTAGGG